GTGAAGATGGCTGCAGCCTTTTTACAGTGTGCATGAATATATATTTTCCTCCAATTTTAATTTAGTTTCAGACTTTTTGTCTTTAGTTCCTGCATTTGTTTTTATGGCCTTTTTATATTTCTTTTTGCGTCTTAAAATTCACTTGCATCTAAATCATTAAATGTTTCTTTTTGGGGGGCATTTCATTTTCTTGGAATTTAATTTTGTTTTCAGGGGTCATTGGATTTAAGTGTCTTAAATAAATGAATGAATGAATGAATGAATGAATGAATGAATGAATGAATGAATGAATAAATAAATAAATAAATAAATAAATAAATAAATAAATAAATAAATAAATAAATAAATAAATATCATCACCATGGGGAGGGGGGCGATGATAACTTCTTCAATGGCTCAAGGGCGCGTTTCTTTCAAAAAGGTTAAGAACCGCTGGTCTAGTTCACTTGTTTATAGAAAAAAAGGACAGACAATTCTTATTTCAGTTACATGGTCTTAGTCAACTGGCTTTCGCTGGTTTTTGTGATTTCCTCATCTGAACTCTCTCTGCACCTTAAGCTTCCCTCTGCCTACGGGTTTTCTTGCATTTCGCTTGCATTTCGCTCTGTCGCTCCAAGGCTACTAGTATCTCGTTCTGTTGAGTGGGCAGAATCATTTGATCCACATAACCGTTGGCGCTCAAAGAATAAGTCTGCTCTTAGTGCCTAGGATAGGTGGGCTAGAAGCTGAAACGACGTACCTAAAAACTTCTCAATGGCCACGACCGCCTCCTGATCTGTGACAACCACCGAGAAGACGGGGTGCTCTTGAGCCAGCTTCAGAGCCTCTGCAGCCACAGTGCTGGCCCCAAGCGTTGTTGCAATGCTACGACCAGAAGGAAAGAGAGCAGTTGTCAATTGCTAAGGACGACCCCACTAAACATATGATGACTGCCTGCTTTTCTTCTTCCTTACCCATTCCTTTTTCCTTTGGTGCCACGTCTTTTTCAGACGGTCAGGTCTGCAGACAGGACCCATATTGATTTTATTGTTTTATATGGAAGTGGCTCCAGGAGATGTGGAGAAGTGGAATAAAAATGCTTTTAAAAATGAATGAATGAATGTCTGGCCATTATAAAGTAGGAAATGGAGGCCCACGATGGGGTTCAGCAACAGTGGTTTCTTTGCCACATGCAGTCCCGCTCACTTGGGCCAGTCGTGGTCTTTTGGACTGAGCTACCTCGCAAGATTGTTGTTTGCATTCAAATGGAGAGAACAGCCTCAGATAAAAGCCAGAGTATGTTTGGAACAAATGAGTAAGTACGTTTTTTCCCCTCCCAGTGATCCTCTTTCCACTGGGAATGGGGGACCTAATGGCAGAGAGAGAGAGAGAGAGAGAGA